TAATGTCCGCCTTTGCAATTACAAACATTTTGTACGTCATCAAAACGTTCAACAGACCAGATAATATATCGTAAAAATGGGCATACAGAAAGTGCATTAACTCTTTTCAGGTACATCGTCAGTCACACATTATCGGTATGTGATTAGGCACTGAAAGTGTCTAAGGTTATTTTAGAGTTATGTACCCCTGTCTTTGATTTCAGACATGTAGATTTATATCATTAGGATAGTGAAGTAGGAGCAGGGTTGTTGTGTAATGTTCCATTTGTTGGTTTGTAATTATTCCAACCGTTATCATTTAACCTTTCTTTAACACTGTTATGGTGTTATCTGTGTGTTGTGTGTCTAACAGTTTGTTTAAATGTCACTACCGGTCGATGTTACGTGACGGTCCGTTGTTTTGTGACTTCCATTCCGTTGCTACGTGATTACTCGTCCGTTGTTATGTGAGTTCCAGTCCGGCTTTACGTGCATTCCAGTCCGTTTTATATGACTTCCGTTTGTTGTCATGTGACTTCCAATTCATCGTTATGTGACTCCCAGTCCGTTACAACGTAATAACCCGTCCCTTTTTATGTGACTGCTTTTCTGTTGTTATGTGACTTCACGTCCGTTGCTATGTAATAACCCGTCTGTTGTTGTATGATTACACGCGTCTGCCTTTAACGATTGTTCACCGGACGTTATGTGACTTCCAGTCCGTTGTTTCGTGACAATCTGTCCGTTGTTACGTGACTTCCGGTCTGTGGTATGTTAGTCGATAAAAATCTGACATTTGGCCGGTAATTGATCTGTTTGTATAAACATTAGAATCAACAGTGCACACATGGGATAATTAGGCTATATATCCGCATTATAGCCTTATGTACGCAAAATCTGGTGACGTCGCTGGAATGGTTAGTCTTCATTTTGTTCTAAAATCCGGATCGATCACGGACCGGTAATTGAAATAAATTGATGTGAATTTTGTATAACACTGGTAAAACAAACTGCTTCTGTGACAGTATAGACTTTCTCGGCCGTGGTAATGGTTAGTGTCTCAACATCAGACCCAGGTCGAAAGGGTTAATATCTGCTGCAACGAGATAATTATTTTCTTTCTGGCGGTAAAGTATTACCAGAATGAAACAAGAAATATTTAGCCAAGATCCTAGGATACCAGTTCAACCTTTACACATTATTTTCAATATTTAAAATAATCGAACATTGGCGCCAACAATTATGTTAGTTTGGAATATATAAATAAGGAAAGAACATTTTTATGACACGACCTAGCGATACACAGAATGCACACATCAATCTGTCTTTGATCTCTGTCTGTCTATAGTTCTCTATTGTCAGAAGAGAATAATAAGCAAAACGTATCAAATATCTTTAGGTGCTTCCTGAAACTGAATTACATTTATAAAATGTTTCTCACTTTATTCGCACACAAAATCACCTTATCTCCATTTAAAAGTGTTACTAAACAACCCATACCAGAACTATCTCTATAATTCTCAACTGAAGGTTTCCTTGCTTATGCAAAGGAACCAAAAAAGATTTTTACACGGATATGGATATATTGTAATATTAATAATCGCATTTATAAATCTGGTGCTGAACAGTATTATCACTATACTACATATACTATAATTTGGTAATTGTATTGGTCAGTACATTATGGGTTATATGCTTTCCTGTTTCAAAGTTTCGAACTGCAAAATTGTCCTTTTGATTGTAATTGGTTTAACCATCTGTTGTAATAACCGTAAGTAAGGATGTTAGTAATGTAAGTGCAGCATTTCAATTGTATTTACAAACATATTGTTAATACCAATAGTACAAAAGCTTTTAACAAAACCAGTCAAATTACCTGGATCCTTCATGTGGGAATCCAGATTATTCATACTCCATGATTATACCATAATCTTGATTGGGTATATTTTCCAGTTTATACGACACATGCGTTCCTCCCCCAAACGACAAAATAACATTGTCTGTCAGGACATATTTTTCTCTCTTCCAGGAGATTATTTTTATACAATTTCATCCAGTGTTCAAGGTGATTTTCATGTATCTGATTTAGCTTTTCCATTATCAAATCTACATCTTTTTTGAACGCTTGGTATATAAAATGTCAAGCTGCAGTACATTGTACCTGAGGAGGGTATGTCATAATTTGTCTCCTGAAAGATCATTCAAAACTATATGCGTTTAACAAGACCACTGAGTGGTTAAATAATAACTGGTTCCTCATAGGAACAAGGTAATGGAGTTATTTTTCAACATGATCAAAGAGATAATTCGATTCCTCAACAATTAAATATTGAATCTAAGATGTTCTACCCCATCAACTATTGCATAACGAGCCGAACTAGAACCTGACTGGAACATGCAAAGTTGTCGAACTTACCCAGATATCTTCCGTTCAGTATTCTTAGATTCATGGAAAAGCATGTTCGTAGATTTAATTAATACTTTTCTGCAGATTAACAGTCCTATGAACTTTTGTCGTACAAGAACGATCATTTTGGTAGTACATTGTAACAAATTCAATATGATGCCACCTAGTATTATTTGTTGAAATAATGACATGCATGTATTCTGACGTCACCATCATCATCAGCATTTCCCTTTTGAGATATCAAGGTTGCTTGAGATTCTAAGTTTGTACCGTCATTACCATAATGAGGCGAGGCTAGTGGCACACAGATGATACAAAGGTATAATTACATTGCATATAGCTGCTTCGTCCAAAAGGAAGATTTGTCTTACTTGAACAATAGTCTGTTAATTTACACTTTGTGTAATAGAAGTTTAGAAATACATTATGATACCACTTATTCCGTGCTTTTTTCATAAAATTTTCTCCATTTTCATATGTATCATATCCCCGGAACAATATTTTATTTATAGGTGATTTTCAGTCGAGGTTTCAGTAGGATAATTAATCATGGCTTACTACACTTCGACATGAGTTATAAATGTTTTCTTGCTATATTTCATATTTTGCGGAACCTATTAACATATTCTGTCAATCTAGAATAAGTCGAACACAAGAATGACTTGAAGCATAAATAATTTCCTTTTCTAAGTTCACAACTACCGCTTTATATGGAGAAGTACAAGTCACAGTGAAATACACATGGGCAATCAATATACCTGGATCGGAACATTGACATCACTGTGTGTTTCACATCCCGGTGAACGGGTCTGTAGCTGCCGTGTTTGATTATGTCGAGTTTTTCTGTCACACAACAGACGACAACACGTGTCATTAAATGTTTAGAAATTATCGGGAAAGTTGTCCTACTTTTGATATATGATGAATCATGTTATCTGAGAATATGCAATATATGCCTTTATTCTATATTTGCGCGCTGTCTTGGCCCTCTCTCCGGTCATTCATTTATGTTCCGCGTATGCATAGCATGCAAAGTAGAAATGTTGAAAAGTATTTCTGCATCCGATTTCAAAATAATAAAAATATTACATGACAATGGGCTCTCGATCTTAGTTTGAAAACGAAGTCAGAAAAGATAATTTCTAAAATCTTTGCACGGTTGCGAAAGATTGCTAGAGATGCAATTAAAAATAACCATAATGTGATTGTGAATAGCAACTAGAACGTTCACCAAATGTATCACATATATTTTGCAATATGACAAGTACGGGAGTCATTTCAGAAAATCAATTACAGGACGAATGAGGACAGCAATCTCAAATTGTCAAGTGGCCGTTGGCTTGATATTTCTAACCCATTTCAACAATCGGCATAAACAACATCATATCACGTGCAAAGAGAGTTACGTAAAAAGGGTTGACGCAATCATTTAAAAGAACGTCCTGAATATTTACAATTCTTCTCTAGTAAGGAACCAAACCAAACATGCTCATCTCCAGCTTTCTAAATGCACAATGTAAACACATCAATTGTCGATTACCCAAACCATGGCTTTTGTCGGTGATCTTTTGGGAACAGGACAGAAACGCCATAACCTTTCTATCGTTTTATCATGATTTCCGTATAATCTACTAGGTACTGCTGACAGCGGCACGTGCAGCATTGCTTGGTTCCGGTCCTAATTTGTTTCCACCGGGGGTTGGGCCAAGGCAATGACACTTGGCTCACAGTTACGGTGAAACAGCGTGGTGTCTATTGTCGTATATTGATAATATACTGCAACTTTACATGAACGCGTTAAGTAATAGACGGAAACTTGTTTTTTTGAAATCATCGTTTCGGTTTATCAACGTCACTTAACATTTCATTTTGAAGTAAATCGTAAATTTAGCACTTGATCCCATATATCAAGTATATGTGCAATCAGAATTTAAAAAAAAATGTGAAATGGAAAAAAATGAAGGATTGGTTTGTATTCATTGGTTTGAACTTCCTTTAAACAGCAAATGTCATTTGAAGACGTTCATCTATGCCGAGTGCTACCTAACTGAAATGCCATGCCGAATCCTCCCAGCATAGTTCGTGTATCACACCTAGTCACATTAAACTGACAACGGGTTGACAAGCTGTTAAGGACTTTGGCATGTTCTGGACTAGGTACAGAGCCCATTTGCCTTCCTCGCTTGGACGAACGTTCAACACTGAGGCCAAAGGTGACGTAGTGCCAAGGAAGGCTAGGCATTTTTCGTATTCTTCAATTAAGAACTTGTTGATCCAATCAATAGTAACTGAGAAAAGACTTAATTTGAAACGTCCTATCAGGCTCCTCTTTTATCAGAATAATGTGATAACGATCGTGTTGGAAATACAAGGCAACAAAAGTCATAATTTTATGAGTCATTTGCATCATCTGATAAGTTTAAAATTGGGTTTCTGTCAAACAATTGGTTTGAAATAATTGCGAAATGTAGAAAAGCAATATGGCAGTACCTTAATTGTAAAACTGAAACTTACAATGCGTAGTAATATGTGCAACAAGACAACAGATTATTAAAATGACAATCTGAAGAACTATCAAATTCAATTGTGAAATACTAGTCGTAAAAATTCTTACCTCACTTAGGAATGGGTTCCCAATCGACGTGCTGGTCGAACAAACTTTCAGAACAAAATGCTAGTGAGCTGTGGCGACCACCGAGACACAGTGACTCCTGCACGCTCCAAGGAACGAAAGGACATGGCGTTCGACGGATGTTGTATTTGTTGTTAGCCTTGTGTGTGTATTGTTATTCCGTTTCCCCTCAGTCACGGTCAACATTGGCTGGTCTCCAGCACAGAAATCTTTATGTTCCTTACCTAAAGTCCCATGTTATTCGTTCAGGCAAAAGCAAACACATTGACGTTTTTCTCACTGTGTTCAGCAACAGCAGCAGCAGCAGTAGCGGCAGCGACAGCACCAGTACTAGTACTATTACAGCTGGCTCGCTACTACCTGTACAGCACTGTCGATACGGACTCTTACTGTGTAAACTGGCTCAGCTATAGGTAACACGTGTCGTATATCCACACCCACGCGCCTAGATATATAGCCACATTCACAAGCGTGTCAAGTCTAGGACAAATACCATAAAATATAGATCAGAAAAGGGATCCGGACGAACGTCAATATCACCGAAATAACCTCAAACACCTGCCTGATGGTGACGATCACACTGTTGTAATGATAGTTATAGATAGAGCAGCACATGTGTTACAGTAGAGGAACTTATGTCGGCTTATAACCATAAAACAACCGTTGCCAATTAATATAAATATATAGATGGAGCGATCCTCCATGATATAGAAACATGACATATGAGATTCTTGTAGCGTACCATTTTCTGTAGATATATCGCACCTCACACAAATCTGAAAGGATACGCTACATACCTCAAACTCCTGCCAGTGATCTCTGTGCGTTGAAAGTTATATATGTGATGCAGTGATTTTCTAGAATAATCAATACTGTATAATTAAATGCATGTATTAGTATGTGTGAAAAAAATTAGCATAGCGATTAAGAATGGTTTTAATGTGAATTGCATCATTGAATGTGAACAACGTCCTGATTGATTATGCATATTCAGAACATGTAGTTTTGCCTAACTGCGTCAAATATCTTTGATCAAAGTGTTCGTGCTACCATTATCAGTTAATATGTCGATCCCCCTATAGATGACATCAATAAGTAGTTCAAACAAGCCTAGCTGAATCTGAATTTGAAATCAAAATTCTAATAGAACATTTCAAAACTAAACGTATTTAATTCGTATGAAGCAATTACATTTATACCTTTTTATCCTATCCGTAAAATTGGCGTAGTTGTCGTTTGTACGCATAAGGTTCACGATAGTCTCCATGATTCTCTCTGATCGTAACACATTGTAAAAAAATACTTCCCTTGTCATACAATAGCCATTATTTTTCTCCCACCTTTTGTCTTTTGAATTGTCTTCAGTTTAACATTTTCAAGATTTCACCCTCAGACTAAGATTTCTCTGTCACCCCTTAGATTAAGATTGCTCTGTCATCCCTCAGACTAAGATTTCTCTGTCACCCCTCAGATTAAGATTGCTCTGTCACCCCTCAGATTAAGATTGCTCTGTCACCCCTCAGATTAAAATTTCTCTGTCATCCCTCAGATTTAGATTGCTCTGTCATTCCTCAGATTAAAATTTCTCCGTCATCCCTCAGATTAAGATTGCTCTGTCATCCCTCAGATTAAAATTTCTCTGTCATCCCTCAGATTGAGATTGCTCTGTCATCCCTCAGATTAAAATTTCTCTGTCATCCCTCAGATTGAGATTGCTCTGTCATCCCTCAGATTAAAATTTCTCTGTCATCCCTCAGATTGAGATTGCTCTGTCATCCCTCAGATTAAAATTTCTCTGTCATCCCTCAGATTGAGATTGCTCTGTCATCCCTCAGATTAAAATTTCTCTGTCATCCCTCAGATTGAGATTGCTCTGTCATCCCTCAGATTAAAATTTCTCTGTCATCCCTCAGATTGAGATTGCTCTGTCACCCCTTAGATTGAGATTTCTCTGTCACCCCTTAGATTAAGATTGCTCTGTCATCCCTCAGATTAAGATTGCTCTGTCATCCCTCAGATTAAGATTTCTCTGTCACCCCTTAGATTAAGATTGCTCTGTCATCCCTTAGATTAAGATTGCTCTGTCATCCCTCAGATTAAGATTTCTCTGTCACCCCTTAGATTAAGATTTCTCTGTCATCCCTCAGATTAAGATTTCTCTGTCACCCCTTAGATTAAGATTGCTCTGTCATCCCTCAGATTGAGATTTCTCTGTCACCCCTTAGATTAAAATTGCTCTGTCCCCCCTACAGAAAGATTTCTCTGTCATCTCCTAGGGCATTTTTTCTCTGTTAGCCTGTAGGATATGATAGATGGCACGTAGAAAGAAATAATACGATGACGACAGGAGAACAATGAATTATGACGTCACAATCAGCTTGAGACGGGAGAGGTCGATAGCAAATCAAACATACCAGGCTACCGTCGATGGAGTAGTGACTGAAATGATAGGATGGAAGAAAACATATCACTCCCTACATTGAGGATGTAACATGGACATTTCTATCCCTCTTGGTGATAATTTGGTCGTCTGTCCTTCGGCAGAGCCTCGGACTAGACAACCAATCAAAGTTATCCCTTTGGTTTAGGATTTGTCTGTTATTTTTTCAAAAGGAGTTTTTGTGATGCCGAAAAAGGATAAAAAAAAGTCTTTAATACTGAAAGCTGAGAGTTATAAGTTACGGATACATCTGTGTCTGGAGATAGATACCAGGAGTGGACGGAATACATCCAAGTTTCTTTAAAAGAGCTGGCAGGTTCAGCCGCAGAACCATGCGTTAACCATGTTCAGCTATTAAAACAGGACGAGGCAACCAAAAAGGTTTGATTTAAAAGAAAGGAACTTAATCTCTCGCCAGAAACTACAGATCGGTCGATTTAACATCGGCTGTATTTTAACTTCGAGGAACAAGGTAGCGAGCATGTAAAAACCATAACATCGATACGCCCTCTAGTAAAGGTACGAACTGATTTCGGGCAGATCTAGGTGTTTCAACTGCTTACAGTTCAATGCTATAGACAAAGGGTGTCATATCGATTGTGTTGATACTGTTCTCCGCAAGAGGCTGATTACTAAGTTGAAGAAATATTGATTACACAAATTATTTATCGACTTGATTAATTATATTTTCAAAGGAATAGAGGACCAGGAACTGCGGTAAATGGATGTTTTCTATGATTAGGAAACTGCAGCATCAGCACGCATTAGGGTTCATTATTCGAGAAATACACCACAAAATACATCAAAATGAAAAAAGTGTTTCCAAAGCCTTAAAATTTAATAAGAGCTCCTAATATGCTAGACTTTCTTCAATCAACTGCCTAGTTCGATGTAATCAGATGTATCATTATTCGCTAATGATACAAAAAATATACAAAGCAATTTTCCAATAATCCAATTAGGAACAGCTACAAGAACGATTTAAAGTATGGAACATTGTTGAAGACATGGAAAAAAGCGATTGAGGCTTCATGCACAAGCTCTGAGAAACAAAACAGTATAATAACACAAAGGAGTTAAAGAGGGTAAGAGCCTAGAATTCGGAAACATTTTTGCGAAAAAGTAACACGCAAATTCAATGACAGCAATTATTTAAAGAGCATTTCAACATTGAAAATTAAACACGTTTTCTTTATCATAAAGGCTCTTGTTAAACTCATTTAGACTTTTCTAAATCCGTCTCGTTCAGTCTGGTTACCATATAGGACGAAATACATAGTTTAGGACGTAGTGCTTATATATAGGAGCTACGCAAGTCACTTCAGAATAGACACCACGAAACTTCGATACAAACGAAAAACGTCATTAAATAGAAGACAACGATATAGGATTTGATAATATATAATAATTAATACTCTTTACTATAAGGTTGTCACTGGCTTTATGAAACTATTTAATGTCGTCACCCAAAGAACTGGCATCGGTGGCCCTTCGTGGAACAAACGTTTCTGTGGTATAGAATATGATGGAAAGGGATAAACAACTAGAAAAGTATGCCCATTTGCTGAAACAGAACCGGCTTAACAAACACCGGGAGAATCAAGACTTTAATTTTAGGCAAAAATGGAAATGTATGAACATTTACTGACGTCGTTATGTACGTAAACACTTGTAATTATATTGTATCGGTAAATGAAAGCCCTGTCTAGATGAGTTGTATATTGCACCATAAACATGTCATTTAACGTTCACTACATTGTGTAGTGATGCTATGCCCATATAGAACGTTAATGAAAATGTTGATTCTGTTTTATTATTTATGTAGCGTGTACGTAAATTGTCAGCCATGTAGATCATGCTCTGCATAGCTGAAGACTAGTGACATTTTAAGGTCCTATAGTCCAAGGTCCCATATTTGGGAAATGAATCTGTTGGAAAGTTTTCGTTTACTTCATTTTGTTTATAAACATGTTAACTCAATTATGTATCTGTAAACTGCACACTATGGTTTTTTTGTACGCGAATGTGCTTAAATTTATCATTTTATAAGAGTGGGCTTTGTTTCCATTTTTTTCTATATAGCATTTTAATACCTCTGAAAAATAAAAATAAAAAGATGAGTTCATAATTATCAAATATGAAATTATTGTTATTAAGAGTAATCGTTATGTACTCCTACAAGGAAATCAGAAGAATTTAATAACGATTGTTATGATTATTTACATGCAATGATGTATCAGGTCTACATTAAGTGACAGTCAAATCTCGTTAAACAGTATATTACTGACTGTTCTATAGCTTGTTTAGATTGTACTGACAGTCAAACCTTTGTTATATTGTACTCTACTGACAATCAAACCTTGTTTACATTGTACTATACTGACAGTGGTACCTTGTTTACATTGTACTATACTGACAGTCAAACCTTTGTTATATTGTACTTTACTGACAGTCGTACTTTGTTTACATTGTACTCTACTGACAGTTGTACTTGGTTACATTGTACTCTTCTGACAGTCAAACCTTGGTTACATTGTACTCTACTGACAGTCGTACCTTGGTTTACATTGTACTCTACTGACAGTCGTACTTTGTTTACATTGTACTATACTGACAGTTAAACCTTGGTTACATTGTACTCTACTGACAGTTGTACTTGGTTACATTATGCTCTACTGACAGTCAAACCTTGGTTTACATTGTACTCTACTGACAGTCGTACCTTGTTTACATTGTACTATACTGACAGTTAAACATTGGTTACATTGTACTCTACTGACATTTATACCTTGTTTACATTGTACTCTACTGACATTTATACCTTGTTAACATTGTACTGTTCTGACAGTCGTACCTTGTTTACATTGTACTCTACTGATAGTTGTACTTTGTTTACATTGTACTCTACTGACAGTCGTACCTTGTTAACATTGTACTCTACTGACATTTATACCTTGTTTACATTGTACTGTACTGACAGTCGTACCTTGTTTACATTGTACTCT